TCTACATTAATAATTACATTCATAGCAACCATCATATGGGATTAAATTCATATCATCACATTATTCATATCCAATAGTAACTAATCCATCTCCACAGATAGGAAGACAAATTTAATCAATCAATGTAAATGTATATTCACAATTATAACAAACTCCATAAACACAAGTATCACAATAAGGGCCACATTCTAATTTACATTCATAACAGCCATCAAATTGTACATCATTAAAATCTTCACATTCTTCATTAGTAATTAAAGCAATTAAAGTATCTCCACATATAGGTTCACAAATAAACTGATCATTTAAATGCCAACCATATATACAATCTAAACACATCCCTCTAAAACAATATGAACATTCTCTTTAACAATCATTTTTACATTTATTACATCCATCAAATCTAATAAAATTCATATCGTCACATTCTTCTAATCCTTTAACTTAATTATCTCCACAATCAGATTAACATTTTTAATTTATTAATTTCCAACCTGCAATACAATCATAACATATTCCAAATTTACAATCTGAACATTCATCTTAACAATCGAATAAACATTAATTACAACCTAGAGATTATTTAGAATCTTTGTTAATATCACATTCTTCATTTCCTTTAATAATTAAATCTCCACATATAGGGATACAAATATCATTAGGTTTTTCTAATATCCATCCGTCTAAACAATCTATGCAATTTCCATTTTCTTATAATTTACAACCTTCTTCTAATTCAAAATAACATTGATGACATTTATCAAATGCTTATAAATTTTAATCATTACATTATAAATCATTAACAATTAATTAATTTTAACAAATAGATTCACATTTATTATTGATTAATTCATAATTTAATTAACATTATAAACAAATTCCAAATTAACAGATCAAACAATATGATGGACAAATAAATTTACCATTTTCACAAATTTCATAATTTAATTGATCATCACATTCTTCCCAAATTTAAAATTTCTTATCATCAACGATTGCAATACAAGTATTAAAATCTGATTAAAAGATCCATCCAGTATCACATTCAAAACAAATACCATCGATACAATTAGAGCATCCTTCTACACAAGAATATTAACAATTATAGCATCCATCAAAAGCATAAATATTACCATCATCACATTATTCAAATTATTCTAAATCTCCGTTACCACAAATTGTACCACAAGCCTAATTAAATGAAGAACCAAAAATACAAGCTAAAAATATCAAAATAAATTACGAATATATATTTAGATATCTCTAATTCCAAAAGATTCATTAGATAACTCTTAATCTAAATCAGCACTGAACTTTAGCGTTATTGATGATTGAGAATGTGTTATTGTAATTTCTTAATTATGTGGTATATCATCATACATCCATCCACAAATATTCTATATTTTTCTGCTATTATAAGTAAATGATTTTGTCCAAATCAATATATTATCAGCATGTAAATAAGCATACTCACTATTCCAAGAATCAATAAACATATATCTAAATTTAATTTTTATTTTGGTATGGGCTCCTAATTAAATTCTCTTGATCATATAACTATTTTCCCCAGTTAATAAATAACCTCCAAGCAAAGGGATATCTAAAATTAAAATTTAAATAAAAACTTGAACATTAACTAGTATATTTAAGTCCACTTTCAATTGCCCACCCATCCATACTAAAAGTGTTAATATCAATACTCAATAAACTATCCTCCACTAAATTCCAATAAATACATTGTACCCTGGAGTCAGATGATATACAAGTTTAACATCCAGAAGGGCAAGGATAAATATACAATTAAAAGTTTCTGATTCCCCAGGATTCCTATATAAATGATTTTAATACATTAGTATGGCCTTCTTCTAAACTTGATGTCATTAAAATGATAAGTGATTAAAAATTATGAGCTTTTGTTATACTTATCTACTAAATTTCCTCTCCTTATGGATTTCCGCAAATTTAAGTACCTCCAATCATATAACTTTATTGAAAGCCTGAAATTTAATCTAAATAAATGTAAAAATATTCGCTATCCCAAGAATCTAATCTAAGTTACGTAATTAAATTTTTACTTCCAAAATTCAAGTCTAATTTATATTTAGTGATGAGGAGGCAGCCTAATCAACATTTTAGCTGATGTCCCTTTACCAAAAGCACCATACCCACCAAAAAGACGTGTTGTATCACAATTACTATATATTTAACTCTAACCACTCACAACCCACTCTTCAAATGCTTAAATTTTATACCATCAGATGTCGTAAATGTGTTACTTGTAAAGCTCTCATAATACAAGACTTGTGAAAAAGAACTAATAGGCAACATGAATAAACTTAAAAGCATCATGATGTAATCAAAATGAATAAAAATAAATAATTTTTTTTTAGAAAATTAATTCTTAGCTTATTTTGATTAAAATATTAAGAAATTTCTAAAGAGAGTATAATAAAATAAATGATAAGTTTTGAATTTTCTAACTTATTTTAATATATATGATTGATTCTCTTTATTTTTTTAATTCATCATCCTAAAAGTACAAATTTATTTTTTATTTATATTTAAAATTCGATTTAAATTTCTACTGGATATAAAAAGCTTTTAAAGGTTTTCAATTTTAATTCTAATTATATTATATATGTAAGAATAAATATTATCTCGAATATATATAGATATTTCAAGTTATTTTGTAATCTCTATTTTAGATCTTAAAAGAGCTAATTCGAATTTATTTTTCTCACTCAGGTTGTTTTTCTTTTAAAATTAGAGCAATTTAATCAAAAAAATTTCAACAATTTAAGATTGCATATTTGTGTTCTTCATTGATAAGTATTGTCTCAAATAAATGAGATATTTAAATTCTCTTAATATTTCTTACTAATCTCTGAATCTAAATTTTAGTATTTCAAAGTTTTGTATTTACTATATAAAAAATTTTGCTTCCAATTTATTTATTCTCAATCAATACAGAAATTCTTACCTTTGAGATATTATAGAAAAGTTAGGGTTTATTTTTGATATTTCTAATAAGAATTACTTATTATTGAAAGGAAAAAAATTGTGAGAACTTTTAAATTTTTCTTAAGCAAGAAAATTTTCTCTTATCTATTTTATTGAAATATAAGAGTTGAAATTTAAGATAACAAGTCCCGATATTTAAATGTAAATTTTTTTCTATCCATTATCCATTAATCATTCCGAATATAATTGAATTAAAGTGGAAATAAGAAGAATTCATTTTATATTTTACAAGATAGATAAAACTATTCTATTAAACTTCAGGAATAAAAAAAAATAAAAACTAAAAATCATATTTTGAATTGCATCACATTTTATAAGGGATAAGGATCTGATCTTAAATGGTCACTTTGGATTTATGAATTTTACAATTTTTTGAATATAACTTTTTTCATTTTAACTAAAACTGCAACTAATTAAAGCCCTAAGTTTGTTATTAAAACACATAACAACATTGCTATGTGGAACCAACCTAAAAGGACTTAATTTTCATAATCGAAATTGTTTTCCATTTCTTTCCAATACAATGCTACTGTTAAACAAAAAATAAAAATGCTAGTCTCCATCATTAATAGATTAATACGTTATAATATATCTCTTTATGATCTAATTAAGATTATGTAAATTAAATATAAGGAACAGACTAGTGTGAGTAGAATTGATTGGATTTGTTGACTGCGTTGAAATAAAACTAAAATTGCAACGAATAATAGTTTCTTTAAGATTAAAAATAAATTAAATTTTTTTAACCAATATTTGTAGACTGATGTTGCTTTATTCTCTTTAAAAAAATGAGATGATATTATAATTGCACAAACATATAAGATTAAATAAGCTATTACTACTGAGACTAGGGCTCTCGTAGAAGTAATTGATTAAGAGCGAATTTGTAAAAATGATATAAACAGCAAATCCCAACAATTAGATATCAAAAATTCTTTTAAACCTTAATTTTCAATTTCTGTTTTAATTGAAAGACAGCTATTTTAAATCTTGATAAAAATATTAGCTATGTTTGATCCAAAACAAAAAAAATAACTATCATCTAAGGCTTTGAAAATTTCAACCAAAAAGAAGCAGGTTAAATACGTGGATAAAAGTGTTAAACTTAAAAATATTTAAGATTAAAGATTATAAATAAGATCAGCATTAATTTCATAAAATTTCAATTTTTCATATGATTCAATATAAGGCATATTAACTATTTCAGATGTAAATGTATTAAAATTGAAAAATTCTAATAAAGGTTAAACTGTTACCAAACTGCTTGACTCAAAATAAATGTATAAATTAAGTGGAAAGACTACATTTATGAATCTCAGATATGATTATTATTGCAGTACTTCAATAACACCCTTTAAAATAAAGGAATTACCAAGAAGTAGCACTAAAATGCTTGCTGCACCCATAGAATTCATGATATATGTTCCCATATTTTTTAATATTAAAGCAGATTATTATTTTTAATCATCAACATACTTTGGTAGATTCAATCTTACACTATCTCTTTGATTAATTAAAGGAGCTTCATTTTAATTATACAATTATTCATTTAATATAACTTCAAGGATAGGAGGAGATGACAAAGTTGTATAAAAGACAATCTCTACTGTATATTCTACAAATGAACAAAATTGTTAAGCTTCTTAAACAATATTCAAAGTAATATTATAAAATTCCTGATCAACTTCAATTAAACTGAGTTCTATATAATTTGAAAATTTAATATTATCCATAACTTAAACTTATTGATCAAAGTACAAAGATACATATTATATCTAATAATCTTATTTTATCAATGAAGCCTTAAATTTAGGATACTTTTCATAAGTACATTATGTAAATGAATATTAATAATTCTTACAAACATAATTTACTTCTATTTTGCATTCTTTTGAGCAACCATCTCCATCTTCTTTATTCATATCATCGCATTCTTCTTCAATTGAGACCAATCCGTTACCACAATATGTCATGCATTAGTTTTGA